ATCCTGTTTACTACTGTATTTTATAAAACCTAGGACTTTGTTAAATCTAAGAAACACATTTACATACATACTCTAAATAGGAAAAATGCTTCCAATTAATTTCTAACATGTCATCTATTGTAAATGGGTTCTAATTTCAAAGATAGTAAAATGTAATACTTTCACAACCTACATCAATGAAAATTTGCATAATAGCACATTAATTTACTAGCATACTGAAAGTTTCCAAAAACTTCTGCAGTAAAGAGGTTCCTTTAATTTTGTTTAGTGTACTATTTTCAAATGTATATGACCATGGAATCCTCTTTCCTATAACAACCAGAGGAACTAGTGTTTTATCTAACTCACATCAGAAAATGCTGTTTTATGAAATAATGTAAAATGAGGGCCTAAACCAATTTTAAATGTTATTCTGAATTTAGGAATTTAATTTCTGAAATTAGGAGAAAGTCTCAAAAAAAAAACCTAGATGGAAAAGTAAAGACACTCTGGAATTTGTTTTTTCCTAACATTTGCCCATTTCTTTTACCAAAGGTGTTGGTATTAGAGAAGTTATATTAACAAATGGATGCCCTGGAGGTGAATCAAAGTGTCTTGTGCGGGTAGAAGAATGCCGTGGCCCAGTGGATACATACATACTCTAAATAGGAAAAATGCTTCCAATTAATTTATAACATGTCATCTATTGTAAATGGGTTCTAATTTCAAAGATAGTAAAAGGTAATACTTTCACAACCTACATCAATGAAAATTTGCATAATAGCACATTAATTTACTAGCATACTGAAAGTTTCCAAAAACTTCTGCAGTAAAGAGGTTCCTTTAATTTTGTTTAGTGTACTATTTTCAAATGTATATGACCATGGAATCCTCTTTCCTATAACAACCAGAGGAACTAGTGTTTTATCTAACTCACATCAGAAAATGCTGTTTTATGAAATAATGTAAAATGAGGGCCTAAACCAATTTTAAATGTTATTCTGGATTTAGGAATTTAATTTCTGAAATTAGGAGAAAGTCTCAAAAAAAAACCTAGATGGAAAAGTAAAGACACTCTGGAATTTGTTTTTTCCTAACATTTGCTCATTTCTTTTACCAAAGGTGTTGGTATTAGAGAAGTTATATTAACAAACGGATGCCCTGGAGGTGAATCAAAGTGTCTTGTGCGGGTAGAAGAATGCCGTGGCCCAGTGGATTGTGGCTGTGAGTTGGACTCTGTATTGGAGGAAGACTGAGGGGAAGAGTTTACTCTGGGGAAATATCCTTCAGGTTGATACTGAGTGGAAGGAGACAACTGATATATTGAAAGGAATTTATAATAAAACTTTAAATTCCATTTCTTCTCTAGATAGTTATAGCTCTTAGTAACTTTTTGCTTTTGCTTTACATTTTTCAGTGATGTCTAAAATTTAACATATATTCTCTGTAATACCCTTGAACCTTACTCTGCTTGGGGTCTGTGGTTGAGGCTGTTCTATAGTGAAATACTTTTTTTGCTTTGGTCATGGTATTTTATTGGTAGATTGGTAAACCTTAGAGAACTCTGAAATCTATTCTATATAAAATTATGCTATTCTGAGATTTCAGTATATCTAATGGAGATCCCCAACCAGTAAATTGGAAGCCACGAGTAGATCTCAAAGTTTAATCTAACAGATCACTAAGTGATTATCCTTGCTTCTTCTCCACAATTTATTCTGTATAAAGAGCAGAGAGCTATGGTGTCTCCTCACCTGTTTCTTTGGGTGACTTTATCTTTGCATCCATCACTTTTCTGCTCCTCTATCCATCTAATGGAGATCCCCAACCAGTAAATTGGAAGCCACGAGTAGATCTCAAAGTTTAATCTAACAGATCACTAAGTGATTGTCCTTGCTTCTTCTCCACAATTTATTCTGTATAAAGAGCAGAGAGCTATGGTGACTCCTCACCTGTTTCTTTGGGTGACTTTATCTTTGCATCCATCACTTTTCTGCTCCTCTATCCTCAGATTCCCAATTATAAATTTGATAACTTCCAGCATGTAATTAATTTTTAAAACTGGAAGTGGCTTTTAAAAGTACAATAATGATTAAAGCAATTTATAATGCTCAATGGCATTTATGTCTTTAAATTTTCTTTTTTTCAGGGGGTAAACCAATTTCTGAAAGTCTTGATAGTGTTAGACTGGCATGTGTTCATGTATCTCCTGTAAATCGTTTCAAATATATGTGGAAGCTTTTAAGGCCAGAGCAAGTGAGTAATGAATGTATGTAATCTGGTGCTTTCCAGTGAGTGATAAATTTTTTTCCCAGTTCTGACAGTTCTCAGAAAACTTTCTCTTTAAAAGTAGTTTGCAAAAATGAAGTTAAAAATCAGACAGCTTTATTATTTGGGGAATTTACAACTTTTTATTATTTAGTGGGACTAAGACTTTACATATGTCTTAGGGAGAGCTATAATAAGAACTTTAAATCATCCATTTTATATAAAGTATTATATTTTGGAAGCAAGATTTTCTTTGGCCTATATAGGGGTTGTGTAATGATAAAAGTAGCTACCATTAGTTAAGGGTTTATTAAGTGCCAGACATGCATCGAGGGCTAGAGTCTCTTTTAATCCACATAACAACCCTATGAGGTAATTCCTATCATACCCATTTTACAGATAAGTAACGGAGGTGTAGAGAGAAACTTATCAACAGTCTTACAGGCAGAGAGTGGTAGAGTTGGCATTTGAAGTCGGGATTGTCTTTAGAATCCATGTGCACAATTAATTACTGTACTAGGTTAAGAGAGACAGTGACTCTTCTTTTGTTAAGGGTGATAAATTGTTTCCTGATCTCGAGCGTACATGAAAAATGTCAATACTTTATTTTTTTTCTTTTTAAATAGCAAGCTGTCATACTTCCAAATGATTCGGCAATCCTAGAAGTAAAAAGGGAAACTCATCCTTTGGCTTTTGAGTGTGACACCCTGGATAATAATGAACTAATAGCAACTATTAAATTCACAGTCTATACACCAAAAGGTAAGTGCCCAGCAATGTTTTGGCTTGCTTCTATCTCAAACTTTAAAGAACATTAAAATCACCTGGAGGGCTTATTAAAACACAGATCTCTAGCTCCACTCCCAGAGTTTCTGATTCAGTATATCTGGGATGTGGCTGGCACAAGAATTTGCATTTCTAACAAGTTCCTAGATAATGTTCTTGTTTCTGGTCCAGAGACCACACTTTGAGAACCACTGGTTTATATCATTTAGACTTTTCTATAATTTAGTTCTTAATTTCTTTTTCACAAAGTAGAGTCAGATGTGCATCACTTTTGGAAAGTGGTATATTCCTGAAGTATCGCCAAAGAACAGTCCTCTAACTTGAAATATATTCTTGCTTTTACTTCCATCATAAAAGCAAAAATGCATAAATGGAATTTTCATGGATGCTTATAAAAATTTTGGCACACTAAAATAAATAAAATTAAGAAACATGTCAGAGCATATCTCTAAAAATTATACATTTGAAGAAAATGTTTTTTGACGAAGCAATAATACAATTCTCTCTCTATGTCACCAAATACAAATCTTGTTCTGAACATAATTTTATATATCAGAAATTGTGTTTCCCTTGTGAGATGGATCAATTTGCATGCCTTTTCAATTTAATCTGTGATGTCTTCTATACCCAGGTAATTATTTCCTTTTGTTTAGCTGCTCTTAACCACTTTCACTGTTGTCATCTTTGTTGTTAGGGATGCGGGGGATCTGGTCACAAGTTCTTTTGAGAATCCAATCAAGGGTTAGCAGCCTTTTCCCAGAAAAATGTTCACATATACAAACATGCAAGTTAAGTGTAATTTTAAGGGAGTTTACAGATTTCTTGAAGCTATTTCTGAACCCCAAGTAAAGAATTTCTCCTGTAATCTAGAGATACTACACACCCTAACACCCTTTATTGAGATGAAAACAGGTTAAAGTATTTTGAGATGATCTTATAGAATAAACTATTTATTATTTAAGCTTTCTTTGATATGCTGTTTAGTGCCTTAAAAATTTTTTTCATGATGAAAGCTTATAATCTTACTCCTCTGTTGGGATGTCATGTGTCATTAAAAGGATAATTTCAATAAAGTTCTAAAAAAGGCAAAAGAGGACCAAACATCATCAAACTAAAAAATATCTCAGCTAGCTTTAGTCTATGATATTAAAGGTGTCTGTGGCCGTTCTCAGTCTTTGTCTCCACTGCCTGTTCCTTGTTAGGACTACTTGGTTGTTGGCTGCTACCATAATTATGAGGGAACAGGCAATTGCTAGTGTGTAAGCTAAGGGTTGGAAGACCCCAAAATGTCAGGCCTTTACTGAGACAAAGTTGACTTCTCCCTTGTAGCAGTCCACAACTGGTGGGGTAGTTCTGCCGCCCCAGTATACTTACTCGTTAAGTGACAAAATGTTTTCAGAACACTTTGGTATCTATTAGTTTCTTTTAAAAATGACAATTGGGTACACCACTGAAATGTACCCTTTTGTCTTTTTAGAAGTTAAACAAATGTTTTAGGTAGAAATGTCCATACAATATGGTACTGGGTTGAAACAAAATATGTAATTGAAATACTTTTAGGGTAAATATGATTTAGTAATGAAAATTTTTCATCCATTCACTTATCTATCAATTTTTACTCCCACTCAAGTTGTCTTTATAAGTAGGCATTGTTATGGTTGAATTGTGTCCTCCCAAAAAGATTCTTTGAAGTTCTAACCCCCCACTACTCAGAATATGACTGTATTTGGAAATAGCTGATGTAATTAGTTGAGTTAAGATGAGGTTATACTAGAGTAAAGTGCATCTTTAATCCAATATGACTGATGTCCTTGTAAGAAGAGGGAAATTTGGACACACATACACACACACGCAAAGAGAGAGAGAGAAAGAGAGATGGGAGAATGCCATGTGAAGTCATAGACACATAGGGAGAAGACATCCATGTGAAAGTGGAGACAGATATTGCAGTTATGGTACCACAAGCTAAGGAATGTCTGGGACTATCAGAAGCTGGAAAAGGCACAGAGTATCCTCCCTTAGATACTTCAGAGGGAGCATGGCCCTGCCAACCTTGTTTTTTATACTACTAGCCTCCAGAACTATGAGACAATAAGTTTCTGTGGTTTGTAAGTTACCCAGTTTGTGGTACTTTGTTATGGTGGCCCTGGGAAACTAATACATACATAAGCTTAGTTTATCTAAAAAGTGAGAGTATCAAAATTCAGCCTATTTTTCATTAGAAAATTTCAATAGGAAATTCAGCCTATTTTTTTGCTTTTGTTGTTAGGTATAAAAGTAGTCTAGGTGACCCTTGTGAAAAGCCTACTGTTGTAATGAACTAAACCCCTCATACCCCTAACTCACCACCCTCTCTTGGCTAATATTGATGGGTAGCAAACAAATAGAAACAAATTTTGCATTTCTGCTTCTCAAGTTTTAGTTCTAAAAGGTGTCTTTTATTTAAATTTTTAAAATCCTACCACTTTGTAAATCCAAAGTTATTTTGAAATAAAAAAGATTTTAAAAATCTAACACTGTTGAAATATAAATATAGATGTAATTTCTCTGACCTACTTGGATCTATTTAGTGAGATCACTAAATTGAGTTTGTAGCTCTAGATTTACTAAGGAAAGTGGAAAGTTATATTCCATGATGCTTAAAAGATAGGAAAGAATCCAGAAAAATAATCAGTTGAGATTACCCATACAGGAGACTACTTCTGACACAGTGGTACTTACCAAAATTAAAATATTGAAATGGTTAAAATATAGCTTGCACAAACGGCTAAACATCCCTGTACCTTGTTTACTTATCTCTATAATGCAGTGATTGGATCAGATGATCTCAATGGTCCTTTCTCCCATGAATCTTTTGTGACTCTACAATTTGGGGACAAGGAAGAGCCACAGGAAAGCTATATAATTCACAGAGTAATACTTGTTGTAAATTGGCTTTTCATCAGCTTACAATGCAGCAGTGCTATAACACATATTGTAGACTGGCTTTGTCTCTTTAATATCCTTATTTGCAGAAAGAGCAGAAAGATATAGGAGAGAATGCCTGATTTAAGACTGATGTGTAGATATTTGTATAAAACAATGAGCCTCAACTTCTACCTTTTACCATATGCAAAAATTAGAGATGTATCATAGTCCTGAGTATAAAATCTAAACCTGTAAAGCTTTAAGAAGGAAATACAGGAGAATATTTGCACGATTCAGGAGTAGACAAATGTTTCTTAGACATAACTCATTAAACAATCATCATAAAAGGAAACCTTGATAAATTAGACTTCATCAAAATTAAAAAGTTCTGCTCATTAAAAGAAATTATTAGGATAATGAATAGGCATGCCAAAATCTAGGAGAAAACATTCACAGAAGCATGTACAATCAGTACGATCAGTGTGGGGAAAGGTCTCACAGTTTCTTAGAACACTAAGCATACATCTACCTTATGACTCAGCAATTCTACCTATTGGCATTTATCCAAGAGAAATGAAAATATATATTCACAAAATGACTCTACAAGAATGTTCATAGCAGCTTTAGTTATAATAACCCACAACTGGAACAGCCTAGGTGTCAGTAGAAGAATGAATAAATAAATTGTGGAATACTTCTCAGTAATGAAAAAGAAGAAACTAGTTACATGTAACAATATGAAAGAATTTCTAAAACAATACTGAGTGAAAAAAAAAAGGCCTTTCACAAGAGATTACGTAGTGTTTGTGTCCATTCACATGAAGTTCTAGAACAGGCAGACCTGATCTACGGTAGAAAAGAAAATCAGGACAGTAGTTGCCTTTGGAGGATGGGGCAGGAATTAACTAGGAAGGGGCTCAAGGGAACTTTGTGGGGTGTAGTAGTATTCTATGTCTTGGCCAGTGTTTGATTACATATGTGTTTGAATTTGTCAAAACTAAGACAATGTACATTTAAGATCTTTGTGCAAGGGCCGGCCTGGTGGCGCACTGCTACAGTGCGCCGCTTGGGAGCGCGGCGGCGCTCCC